GTCCTACCAATTACCCTCCCTCCACCCTTCCCTTTCTCCATAATCTTGGGCTATAGTTGGGTTATAGCTTTCATATGAAAGCTATAAATTGGTTTCATAGTAGGGCTGAGTACATTGGATACTTAGAAAATGACCTTTTTTTAAAACCAAGTTAAGTATCATTGATTACAAGTAGTTCATATTGTCATAAACCTGGCTTTGAATGATCCCAATGACTTAGCAGGATACTTGACTAGTTAGAAGTGTCTATAAAGTATATATTATACCTGTAATTGTTTGGATGTTACATCATAGTAATAGTGGATCTAATAAGGTGAGGCATCAAATGACAGAACAAAAAAGTAATAGAAACCAAATGAGCTGCTAAAACTTTCACAAAATAACACATTGATATTTTCACTGATGAATATTTTGAGAATGAAGCTCTTTTATTATAAAATTAGTTATATGTTTAAAATAAACTTGTAATACATAAGCGGCTCCACCAGATCTTATATAAGGTAAAGTGTTAATTTTTTTCATTAAGCCTCGTGTATATAAGACTGCATATGACAAAAATATTTTATTTTTGATATAGATCAGATTTTGATTATGATCAGAAATAGTTGAATAAAACATGGCTTGACTCAAGGTAAACCTATGAAGGCCAGAGGATTTGTTCTGGTGACATCACCCTTACTATTTGACATACTTCTATTCAGATAGTGACTCTTTATTTTCAGTCGCCCAGTACTCACCTGTTATCTAGCTTGTTCTCCCTTCACACAAATATAAGTAGAGTTGATAACAGACATTTAAGCATGTTAACTAACTCTTTTTTTTACAAAAAGAGTAAGTGCAGTAGCTCAGCCAAGTAGTAAACTTGTCTCTAATTGTGAAATAAAATTGTTTCTAATGAAAGTGAATTAAAGGAGGCAACCTCCAAATAATACTACATTTACTGAATGCAGAATAATTCTGAATGCAAATTTGGTAGTTTTTTAAGGGTCTTCAGTGGTAATGACAGGAAGAAACAGAAAGATGGAATGAAGTCTTTTTGTCCATCCACACTGGTAAAGTTAAACAGGGGGCTACTCTGGTTTTGTGTGATGAAGGCTGATTTCACAGAGGGTTCAGAACTTAGGTGAGCATGTCTGGAACACTAAGGCATTTTTGAAGAATGTATTTTTGTGGGATACCATGTAAAAATGGTTAAATAATCAAACATATTAATCTTAACATACTCATGTTATTAATCTTAATATATTCTTCTAGTTTTCATATGACAATAATAACCCTCAAAGAAAAAAATCTGCAAATAAGCTCGATAAATAAATACATTTCTTAAAGAATATATAGGTTTAATAGAACTATGAGTAGGTATATGTCAGGATACAACATGTCTAGGAGATAATCCTTCTTAGTTGTAAATGTTTATTGAAGATACAGGATTTCAGAAAATGTTGAAAAAATAAAAGGGAAAAAGCTTGACAAATTTGGTAAAGAATTTCAGATATGGTAATGAGTACATTGTTGAAGACCATGTCACTGAGAAAAACAGAGAATTTTTTTCTATTTAAATCTGTTTAAGTGAACAGAAAACTTCACAACCAGCTCTTAAAAAGCCAGGAATCTGATGAGGAAAGTGAGATGGGGATAACACTGAGGTGAGCCTTACATTCCACTTGAGGAATATTTTAGTTCCTAATAGCACAAGGCCAAAGGACTAAAAAGACAGCCACAGAGTGGGTAGAAATCTAAGCTGAGATTTTGGTCTTCTCAGGGTTTCTAGAGACAAAACTTACAGTTCACGTTCAATAAAGTAGGACTTTAAGAGACTAAATTAAACTGGCATTGAATCATTTTTTCCACAAAATATTTGCAAAATCATCTTTGATACAGGTCAAAGAGGATAAGAAACAGAGTCAAAAGTGGCAAAAATCTGCGCAGAAGCACAGATTGAAGGAAAAAAAACTGGAGGAAAGAATCTCGTGAATAATACTGACTTCTTGTCAGGATCACAGGTCACAACCTAGCAACATGCAGGTCACAACCTAGCAACATGGGTGATGGGAATTAGATGAACTCTTAGAAAAATGTGAGACCCAGCTCTGAAGAAGCATAATCCCAGACTAGAAAAGTAAGTTACCTCAGAGAAAGAAAATAGATATCTTCTCTAAAGTAAGATAAAATGAGATAAAACCTCCAAGTATCTCTAATTCTTCATAAGCAATGTTCAACGTTTGATGAAACTTGTTAGGCATGTCAAGAGATAGAATCAAAGGACAGAAAATGAAGACAATAAAGATAAACGTAAAGATCCAAAGGTAACATTGAGTTGGAGTTATCTATTATGGACTTTAAAATAACGAAGAGTAAAATGCTTAACAAAATTGTTGACAAGATAGAGAATCTCACCGTGTAACTAGAATTTATAAATAACAATCAAAAAGAAATTATAGAATTGAAATACAACAAATTAAGAATGCAATAGATGTATTCATCTTCAAATATCTAAAGAATAAATCAGTAAACTAAAAAAGTGTTAGAAAATATACAAATATAGTACAAAGAGAAAAGAGAATATATAATGTACTATATACAAAACATAGAAGGTACATAAGACACAAAAATATATCTGCAATTGCATTTTCAAAATAAGAGAAGGGGAAGAATGTTATAAAAGCAATATTTGAAAAGATAATAGGTGGAAATTTTCTACAACTGAAAGACTTCACCCAAACAATCCAGAGCACTAGCAAACACCGAGGAGGATTGAGATAGGAGGCTGTAAAACTTAGGCACAGTAGAGTAAAATTGAATTTTTAATAATGCATAAAGAAAAGTTACAAAAGTAGTCAGATAAATAAAAGACATATTCAAAGGAAAATATTTCATCAGAAAGCATAAAGGACAGAAAACAATTTAATAACATCTTTAAAATGCTGAAAGAAAATGGATGCCAATTTGGAATTCTTTATCAAGAGAAAATGCCTTTGAAAAAAAGAAAATGCCGTGAAGGCTTTGTTTGATGAAAATATTTCAAATTGTGTATAAAACCAATGCATTGTACCCCATGATTGCATTAATATACACAGCTATGATTTAATTTAAAAAAAGAAAATGAAATAAAAATATTCTCAAACAAATTAAGAGAACTCAGCAACAAAACTGCACTAACATGCATATTACAAATAATTCATTAGACGAATAATGATCCCAAAGAGAAGCAAAGAAATGGAATAAGGAATAAAAAGCAATAAAATAGTTAATTATGTGGGTAAATCAAAATAAATGTATCTTAAAAAACACTAATCTCTTGTGGACTCAGTAGATACAGAATTGAAAATTTTGACGATAAAGTGAGGCAATGGCTTTAACTGAAATTAAATAATTTTCAAATCTTTGAATTGTAAAGGAGGTACTGCATATTAGTAACTAACAAAAATTATAAACAGTTAATGGGCTATTTCTGCCCATAATAACAAAATACACAATAGAAGCAAAAGTATAATGTGTGAGATAGAATTAAAATTAAGACGTCATTGTAGAAATTGTCTTCCTATATGATTTACTGAATTGTATAGAATTCATTTCAATTGTATAGAATTGTAAATTCACTATTCCAAAAAATGGACATTCTATTTTTTTTTTTTTTTTGAGGCAGAGTCTCACTATGTCGCCCTCTGTAGTTGCATGGCATCACAGCTCACAGCAATCTCAAACTCTTGGGCTTCAGCAATTCTCTTGCCTCAGCCTTCCCAGCAGCTGGGGTTACAGGTGCCCACTATAACACCTAGCTATTTTTTTGTTGTAGTAATCATTGTTGTTTGTCAGGCCTGGACTGAGTTCGAACTGCCAGCCCCAGTGTATATGTCTGGTGCCCTAGCCACTGAGCTACAGGTGCTGAGCCTACATGGGCATTCTAGATCAGACCTAGATCCAATAGAAATGTCATTTGAATTATAAAAATAATTTTATCTTTTGTAGTGAACATATACAAAGTAAAAAGAAATAGAGTAAAATAATAGTATATTTAATTTAACCCTGTGTATCTGAAATATTTCAAAAAGTAATAAATATATTATTAATGAACTATTTCATGCCTTTTTATAAAATTAAGCCTCCAAAATTTTAGACTTACAGTAGTAGCATGTAACAATTAGAAATAGGCACATTTCAAGTGCTTGATAGTCACAGATGGCTAGTGGCTACTCTTATAAACAGCAATGGTCTAGACTGTAGCAAGAATAAATTCTGATGGCATCTATATAAATTTGATCTCCAATAAGCAGGTTAATGATATATCAGATATTAACCTTTATATTTTATTACTTTAATAAATAATTTTCTATCTAGAATCAAGTTCCCTAGTAATTAATATAATCTCGGTAGGTTCCTAAACTACAAAGCATTTAATGATGTGGATACTGAAATAAGAAGAAATTCTGGGAACACGATAACATCAACTTTCTCCTAGTCAAGTCTCATCTTACCAAAAACCTCAAAGTTTAAACCACCTTTGCAGTCATTACCACACAGTCAGTTTTCAACCAAGAGTTCAATACCTATTAACTCTTTTTATGAGAGTATGTATCCTTAATCCAAACTTGCTTAACAGCAATTTGGCCAAAAAAAGTCTAAATGCTACAATGAGATGCAATAACTCATTATTAACTCATTATTGGGGGAATAACTTAGTTCCCCCAATAACTAAGGGATAACTTTTTTTTCCTTTGCATTAAAAAAGATAGATTAATCAAAAGTCTGTCTACCTTTTTGAGTAACTTTTACCTTAGTATTAAAGGCAAATTAAAAACAGACTTTATGAAAATGGAAAGATAATGTAGTGGCTATTCTGGACCAGATAACTCTTTGGAGCTAATCTCTAGGAGAGGGAAGCAAATGCATTGCTTTGAGGAGAGAAAAAATTATCTAACAATGGGATTATGTATGAAAGTTAATTTATAGATTGAAAACATGTAGTACTAATATAATTCAGCAAAAACAGGCACACTTACCATTTGGAAGATTTTTTCTTGCCTTCCTGATATTTTTGTTTGGCTTTTTGTAGGAATAATTGCCCTCAGTCAGGAATGAATTTGGTAGAGTTACATTGAATGTTTTCTTCAGAACAGAATGTCTTAAAAAGGGACTGAGCTGTAGAGATTCAAACAAATGAATAGCAAATTGTAAGTATATCATTCATAAATTTTAAAACATAATTTTACATTAATCAATAATGACTTCATAAATATAAACTAACTTACCAACATTATTAGTATCTTACATGTTTGGATTCCAATAGTTAATATCTATAAATGTACTTTAAAATATACAAAAGTTGTAAGTCATGTTTATGTAAGTCGTGTAAGTCACTCACCTGAAGTATGTTTAATATTTTTGTGAAAAGTCATACATATTTGAGAGAGACTAATATAGTTGGTGAAACTATAACTTTTTAAAAAAGAAATCTGGGTATTTTTCCTAATACTAATGTAATTTTTATTCTCAAAATAACTTTTGTTTCCAATGAAGGCAGTTATTGATTTTCCCAAAGTGCCTTCTCTCGACATTATCATTCAGCAAATATCTATTAAATGTACAGCAAGTGCCCAAGACTATTTTAGTACTATGAACATGCAGTGGCAGGATAAAGCTCATTTACACTCACCATTCAACACACAACGTGGAGACAAACAGTGAGAGAGATAAAAACGTGAAACAACTCTAAAAACTAAAAGAAAAAACACTCTAATTTCAACTGCTGTGAGAAAGGCTTACTAAATCTCTTGCAAAAAGATGATTGAGAAACAAATTTAATGGAATGTTAATTCAATCAATATCCATTTGAGTGCCTCCCATATGACAGGTCCTGACATAGCCCTATTAGGGTTGCTCTTTTTTCGCACTCACTTCTCCCAAACATCATCTGATAAAATCCAAGAAGAAGGTAGTAACTGAGATAGAGTTCCTAAGTACAAGACAGAATATTGCATTCTTAGATTTACAGCTCCTCGTTATCTGTTTGAATGTAAAGGGATGACAGTTATAAGTTTAAAGTCATCTTCACATAGAAGGATAATTTATAGACCTAAGTGCAGATTTAGACCAGATACTTCCATTGTCTGTAGCCTTTGAAAGCTTACCTCCCCTTTCTCAACTTTGGTTTCTTCATTTTTCAAATGGAGTCAATGCTACCTACTTATATATAAGTACACACACACTGGGTATAATAATTGAGTTAAGATTTGCAAAGTAGTCATTTATCCTTGAAAGGAAATGTAGCTAAGTGGTTAAAAGCATGGACTCTTCTTTGGTTGGAACTTCATCCCTGCCCTCTGCTTTCTATGTGCTCTTAAGCAACTTAACCTCTCTGTTCTTTGGGTTTAACATTTGAAAAATGAGGACATGAAAGTAATACCTACCTTATGGTATTGTTGTGAGTATGAAATAAGCTAATATGTGTAATGCATATCAAGCCTAGCATTTCAAAACTATATTTGTCAATTATTACTATCATTAATATCATCTTGTGTAGTGTTTCCCAATGAGAAAATATTTCCATCAAATTTCTTAAAAATAAATTTTCATTCTTAAAGAAGTTATAAACAGGGCAGATGCAGTTAGTCCAATGGTATGAAAAACACTGAAAGTTGATTAGGGTAGATTATTCCAGAAAACCCCCTTAGGATAAAATTAAAAGGAATATTATTTTCATGATCAGAGAGATAAGAAAGCAAAGCCAGAGCAATCGACATGCCATGCTGTTGGGAAACATCAGTTCTGTGTTGATATCTTCTTTTAAATCATGAGCAAACAGAAACATATCTACATGATTCCAATGAATTATGCAGACTAAAGGAAAATAACATTAATTGGAAGAAACAGACTAACGAATGGGCTCTAATATTTATTAATGATGTGAACAAATATTTTTCAGAAAAAATATAATAAAATTTGAAGTAAATAAATTTGGAAGAGAAATCTTCACATCATTCAAAAATCCAAAAAGAGTTTTTTGAATAACTATTGAATTAGAGAAATATACATACATGAATAATACAAAAGAACAAAAAAAAATCAATATTCATAGAATCACCTCCAAGCTACAGTCATAATCCAAAAGGTCTCATAATTTAAAGAAGGAAAACTGGGGAACTTCCACTTATTTACCCTTTTGTTAATTTTTTATATAAGTGAACATCAATAGACTACTGTATTCCAGGCATTGTATTAGGGTCTAATAATAAAATTGGCAGACCAAAGACAAATAGTTCTCATGAATTCTACTAATATTAATGAGATAATCATAAAATAAGTGTAAAATCAAACAGTGATAAGAATCTCAAGAAGAAGTACACAAAAATAAAATGGGAGGATTTGGCCAAGTAAAGGAAACCAGAGGCTTCATTAAGGAAATGATAATTGAACTGAAATCTGATATAGGCAATAGTGTGAAAGAGGATGGAGGGAGGTAACCCAGGCTCAGTGGTCAACATTGATAAAGATACTGTAGCTTGTTTAAATCCTTGAAAGAAGACTAGCATGCCTAGAGTGGCACAGAGCAAGGGGGGGCCTCATGGAGTATGGTGTTGTAGAGATAAGTAGTCCATGTCTGGAATTTTGGTCTTTATGATAAAAGTAATGAGAGATCATTGTTTATTAAAAAGAGGGTCAGAGATGATTTTCTGGTTTGTTTTTTGAAATATTATTTATTTTTGTTTTTTGCATGAATGTTTTTATTATGCAAACATTGAATTTCCCATGCATATTTATCTTGCTACTAAAAGAGTTATGCATCACTAATATCTATGGGAATTATTTATTTTTTAAATATTAATTACTACTCAAGAGGTATTTTGAATTAAAATTATCTCCTGAAGTAGGGAAGACTGTGCAGTCCAGCACTCAGAAGGGAAGTATAGATTAAAGATGAAAATGTGCACGTTATTGATAAATAGACTGTAGAGGGATTATAGCAGGAGAGGAGGGTCAAGACTTCAGGAACTCTCAAATTCATGGCCAGATATGGGAAGGAGCCTATAAAGGATATTAAAATGTCACAGAATGGTGTGTTAGAGTAGCCAAGAGAACAGAAGATGTCTGGCTGTTTTCATGATTGCTGAGAAGTGAAGTAAGTAAAGTAAGAAGTGGGCTGAAATATGCCCATTATATTAACAGATATAGAGTACATTGATAAATTTAGTTGAGGTAAACTAAAGTGAATACAATACAGATTGGAGAAAATTGAGAAGAGAAGAAATGAAATCAGGGGAATGAACTTCTTTTCAAAAAATTCAGTTTCAAAACGATGAAATATCCAGAGGTAAATGAAGAGTCTGGAGAATACTTGTTTATAATTTTATGTTTATTTTATTAAAAAAGAGATTTGGAACTATTTAAAAGACAATTACTCCTGGAGTTGACAGTAGAAGGGAGTAACTGCTAGAAAATGGTCCAGAAAATATAGAAGGGTATAAGATCTGTAGCATAAGGTATCTGGAGATATTGGTATGAGGAAAAAGAAGAGATCTTCTATTATATAAAAGTAGAAAAAGAGTATCATACAGATATAGATATATACACATTATAAATTAAATAAAATGTAATTAAGAGAATCTCCATCAGACATCTTGGTTTTCTCTGTTACTGGCATCAAGTGTTCCTCCTACCTAAACTCCCATGGAAATAATCAAGGAAATATATAATTAGGGAAATTCATGTGTTAATGTTGACAACCTGGGATAGGACACTAATCTGTTAAAATTTTCAGACAATTAATGCCAGATATAACAGAGATGGCAATGGACTGACGGAAGGTGAGGAGCTAATTCAGCCCTTCTAGTCCCCATCCCAACCAACTTCCAGGAAAAAATTTTGACTTCAGGAAGTTGTTAGTGAGTCATTCTCTAGAAATAAAGAAGTAATATAGTAGTATTTGGAGTAACATACTGGAGTCCATCTAGTATTGAGAGGTCCTAAGTTTCAATCCTGGCATAGCACTCAGCACAAACTTGGAAATGAGCATAGTTAACTTTATTTCTGACATAGGAACCAAAACAAGCCAAGATACTAGGATATCCACATCTGGGCACCACGGAAGTAGAAGAAGGGTAGAGGTATCAGGCTTTATCTAGAGCAGAGGAAAAGAATGAAACTCTTTGTACGTCTATGCACTGCACTGGTTATCCCTATACCTGTTCCCAAAGGCTCCTGGATCTGAAGGGGTCTGACATTGATGATCTATCTTAGAAAAATTTAGGGGAAGCAGAGATGGTACCATACATTATAAAATAATATAGATCCATGATATTTAAAACAATGTGACTCAAGTCCCAACCAAGTGGTAAATTCAATGGAAAAGTAGATTTCTAGGCTTCAAATAAAAATAGGAATTTAGCATATGATAATATTGGCATGTCAATTAACAAGAAAAAGATATATTTAAAAGTTACTAAAGTTACTGGTATTGGAATGATCAGTTTTACGTTTGTAAAAACCAAATGACTAATATATCGTATCTTCACATTATGTGCCCATGCAAATTTAAATGTTTAAATGTTTTTTTTAAAAAGGATCATTAGAATAAATAAAGGAAATACCAGTGGAATTCAGATCTAGGATTAAGTTTTAGGAAATAATCCTTATTCTGTACAAAGAGGTAGCTGAAACATTTCTTAAGCTACCTTACATTTCTTTTTATGTAATTAAAAAGCCAGCAAAATCTTTCAAACTTTCTATAAAGAACTTTTGATAATATTTTAGAAATTATTCCAATGATAGACAAAATTATGATGCTGCCAGTCATTTTTTAAAGTTGGAACATTTGATTCTGAAACATATTTTGTTTACTATGAAAAATTATGTCTAGGCTCAGCACCTAAAACTCAGCAGCCAGCGGTGCCAGCCACATAGACTGGAGTTGGTGGATTTAAACCCAGCCTGGACCTGCCAAACAACAATGACAACTACACCAAAAAACCCCCCAAAAACCAAAAAACATAGCTGGGCATTGGGGTGGGCACCTGTAGTCCCAGCTACTTGGGAGGCTGAGACAAGAGAATTGCTTAAGCCCAAGAGTTTGAGGTTGCTGTGAACTGTGACACCACAGCACTCTACCAAGGGTGACATAGTGAGACTCTATCTCAAAAAAAAAA